TTGACTGAAGGTTATGTTGGCTCTCTGCATGAAAACAGACATGGTAGTTCTGTGCAGATACGGAGGCGGAAGGCTTCGGGGGATCCTTACTGGGCGTACTCGGGTGAGTTGACTTCTTCAGAGGACTGAAACATGAAATATCCCAATCAAATTGTTTACTTGCTTTTTGTTACTACTATGTTCAGAAATAGTTTAAATTAGTTTTACAGTGTATTTTCTTCTGCTGACTTCCTTGCAAACTCCCTCTACCCACATGCTCTCCTTTCTTGCATTGCTGCCATTTACCTGCAGGATTTGCCTTAGTACTCTGCTCCTTCTCTGACTTCCTTTAATTTCTTAACACACCCTTAAAAAGGCATAGTTCCACAAACTTTTCTTCACTCTCCTTGTTCAATCAGTACATTTCTGAGCTCACCAGCCTTCTAAAAAGACTTTAAGCATCCGTATATACATACAGATGGAAAAAAAACCAAGAAATTTTACAATTATGTCTTTGTGTGCATCTGTTTTTGTGGTAGTGTATAATGACGACAATGAGACCTGTCAGTGAGCATCACACCAGGATGTGTGATGCTGAGAAGGTAGGATATTGGGAGGGTATTTTATTGTTTGTCCCTCTGCTCTTCTAAGTCGTATGGAAAACCTGATATGTCTGCACAATTTTGAAATGTCAGAAATCAAAATATACTTTAGAATGATGTCTTTGATGTACGGTTTGACAGTTGGTTCAGGTCTACAAAAGTCCAGGTCTGTGTTTGAAAGTTGTTTAAAACAAAAAAACAAACAAACAGCAACTTGAAATCATGTTAATAGCTATGTTGACTTTATGGAAAAATGTCTAATATCTAGAAAGTTTTTATGAAGGAACTTGTGAGTGCTTTTTTGGAAGATCTGAAATGTATTTCAAACATTTTGTGTTTGTCCAAGAGGAATGTTATGCGGGCCTAGTTTTAGCTGAAGGAAAAATATTACTTTATAAGTAATAGAATTTTTTTTTTTCTTTCTAAGAATATTTTCTTTCTAAGAAATATGAATACTGATACCAGATAAACAGGCAAATGTTAATTTTTGACTGCCAACTCCTGCCTTTTATACAGACCATAAATTTCATTGGAAATGAATGATTATAGGTAAGCTTAGAGGTTTTTTCAGTTAATACACAAAATACCAGATGTCACAAGTTTTCTCTATTAGGTCTCAAAATACAGGCGATCTCATTTGCAAATGAGGTCACACAAGCAAAATAAATCTAAACATTTTACTAATGTAGGACAAATCACCACTTTTTGTTAAATTTTGAGATTATCAGATGGACAAGTATTGCCACGAAATATACTTCCATATTGCAGCTTAAAATAACTTTTTTAGATTTTAAGCCTTCAAACCCATAAAGAGTAGAAATAAGCAAATAGAGGAAAAATGTGTGTGTTGGAATGAATGGCCTATACCTGTCTGCTGTCTTGTGTAAAATATTACAAGTGAGGTGCTACTTGGCAGGTTTATTTTGTTTTTGTTACTGAAAAATGTATTTGGAATATTCATTGCAGGTAGTTAAATGAAAATGTTTTAAAAAAGGTAAAACAGTAGTGGAATTATTGAGAATGCGTCAAAACTCTTTGCTTGAGTTACTGAACTCTTTTTTTAAAAAAACAAAACAAAACAAAAAAACCCCAAAAAACAGTTCTGGTTTAAAAAAAAGAAAGGGGAGGAGCCCCAAAACAAACACCACCACCACCACCCTCGAACCAAGCAAAGCAACAAAAATCCACAAACCCACCACACACCAGTTCATGTATAGGAAGTTTTTCTAATTCTATTTTTGTGATGGTATTGTTCTTTCTTTATGAGTAATATCACTTGTTCACCCTTCCAAAAAAGCTTTTACCACCCCCAAATCCTTTTAGATTTATGTCAAAATAAAATGCATAGTCCTGATGTGTAATTATACCTTACCTTTTGGGGTTTTGCATCCTTTTGTCTATTGATAAATCTCCCGCTTCTAGGAGGAAAATAGCCAATCTGTTTTTCGGAGAACAGATAGTGACTTCTCAGCTGTCAATCACATGCCACTCTACCTGATTAGCGCTATCTAATTAGAACCTTTTTGTCACTATTGCTGATAAAAGAAGTAAATTAGGAGATGGAAAAGGTGGGAATGATATATTTACCAGCACTTGTCAAGAAACCAGAAGAGGATATAATATCGTTTTCTCAGGATGCTTTGTCAGATTACTGTTTGAACAGAGTGACTTGAAATGCCATTCCAGGGAGAATGTGGTTTAGGACCCAGTATTCCAGGTGGGTCTTCACCAAAGGTTTTGTGACATGAAATACAGGTGTGAGCACACAGCCTAGGTACTGCGTGTTCTGGCTGTATGGGTTGTGCGTATACTGCACGCGAGCAAGCCCATCCTGGAATGGATGGAGATCTAGTGTCCTCCTGAGCCACGTCATGGTTTCTGCCTGCAAGGAGGAGCAGGTCTGCCCTGCTGTGCCCCACGTTGAGTGCCTGAAGACCTGCATGAGGGCAGGAGGGGCAGGGCCATCTGCAAAGTGTGAATGCCAAGATGCAGGCAGTGATTTGGGTTGTGTCTGAGAGGGAAAATGTGAAGGCAAGTGGAGCCTCGGGAAAGGCATGGTTATTTCTAAAGGCATTTTCCTGGGTTGACACTATGTCTTGCAGGAGTCTCAGTATTGCCAGCATGTGCCAGAGAAAGGGAGGAAATTAAGATGAGCAATTAAGTGGCGAAAGGAGCCCATGCTCTGTTAGAAATTGGATGTTTCTACAGGCTGCTGCTTTGTCATGGCTTTTTGTACGTGGGAGTCTCTTTCTCTTTCCTCCCCTTGCTTGGTTCCGTCCAGCTCCGTGTGGGATTTTTAGCCAGTTCAGCCTTTCTTGTCTGATGTCTTTTGTCCGTATTTGCTCACTGAGGGGGCCAGAGGTAATGAAAATACCTAGCTGCTGTGTTTATGTTGAAGATGGGAATAAATGGTGGGTGGCAGAGCCCAGATGCCAGACAGGTGTTTGTTTCTAGCCGAGCACAGTGAGGAGGATCATCATGTTATCTGTTTCTTTCTCCTTGCTTTTCCATTTCCCAGAATATTTCCCAGGAACCCTGAGCAGGGCTTGGCGAAGCAGTGTTATGCGCTAACAACGTTTGTCCTGCGGGAGGGGTTTTCGATATGACTGGGAAGTTTACATCAAATGAGCCTATAGAGAGTGGAAACTATGCTCTGCAGTAAGCAATTGGTCTGTGGCAATGGTTTCCAAGCTCTTTCACAGACATTATCTGGTAGGCTGCTTCCCTTCCCTATCCTCAAATGGTTAGGCCAGCTCCCCTCCAGTTAGTTGTACATCATCTGCTGGCCCAGTCCCAGCAACTGTGGGAAGGGAAGAAAGTTATGCTAGACTGTGTGCTGGTGAATCTGAAGTTTCTTCTAAGGGAATTTGCCACCTGGAGTAAATAATACCAGGACAGCTTCTCCCAGCCATCAGTGGACAGCCATCTGTTGAACCCCAACATTGACCAGTATGCCTATGTCTCTGCTGGGCCTACATTCCGCTGAACTATGGCTTTATAATCAATCTCAATCTCTCAATCTCAGTTGAGCTGTGCTAATTTATAGCAGCAGAGGCTTCTCTTAAGTTAATGGCTGTGCCTGCCTGCTTGCAGATCTTTTGTATTTTTGGGCTTAAAGTGTTCTGTCATAAGTCCTGCGGTGGGGGTGGAGAGGTCTGAAGGCAGCCAGGCAGTTGTGGTTTTCCTGCCTGGGGGTAGAAAAAGGGCACAGACATACTGCAGAGAGTTCTCAAGTCTTTATCTTCCACAGGATATATCTGTCCTATACTGCGCTTTTAGACTAATTTCTCTGTAGCCTGTAGGAAACCCTTCTGCTGCTCCATGCTCTTGTGGATGGTGAGTGGTCCAGGAGCTGGTTTAAACTCTGGAGATGAGGAATTTTCCTGGTTTCATGAGCTGTCGATGGCATTACCACGTACAGCCTGGTAATATTGCTCCTCTCGGGCCCATGAGTTTAGAGAGGATAACCTTCAGATATTAGTCAGGAGTCAGACAACCCTGGGGTCTGTAACATCTGTATAAGGCACCTACATATCTAAATGTCCCTGTGACGGGACCCTGTGAGCTTTGGAGTGCTGTGCTCGTGCTGCGCATGCCCTGGAGAAAGCCGCTGAGCCTGCACCACAGAGCTCTCGCTTCACTGTCCAGTTGTGAAGGAAAGGATTTTTAAGCCTTAAAAATAAGCCTGTTGTCTACAGACACAATTCTGACTATAACATTTATTCCAGTTCAGAAATAAAACTCGCAAAAATAAAGACTAGATAATGAAATGAAGAAGGCCCATTTTAAATGGGTTCTGTCAAAAAGACAGAAGGAAACACAATCAGCCTTTCAGAAGAAACTTCATTAACTCTACGCTAGCAGCTCTTTAAACCAAATTCAGAAGTGAGCAAACACTCAGAACAGAAGACTAACTTGTCTTTAAATAGGAACTGCAAGACTGAAGAGAAACTGAGATCTCCTAGATGTTCGGTTTAGGATTTTTCAGGAAGCTCAAACTACATTTCTAGGGGGATTTCTGCACGCCTGTGTATTCGTGTATGTTTTGGCAAAGTATTTATTTCATAATCATGTCTTACGGTTTGCAAAAGACTTCCTAAATTGTGACTGGCCACGGTACTTGCAGTGTAACAGCAATGTGGAATAGGCGCAGCACAGTCAAAGCAAGAAGTAGGTGTGGATCCTGAATGTGCTTCAGTGCAGTCTTGTCTTTTCACAGTAATATTTTCTGTTAGACTAACTGCTGAATGGACAAGTTTGAAATTATTCATAGCCCATCCTTATAATTGCCACAGAACTCAGTATGTTTCTAGTGCCCGTAATAGTGACAGAGTAATTCAAGTGCTTTGTCATCAGTGTGGAAACATTTTTGTAAATAAATAAACTATTTTTTAAAAAATACAAAACAAAACTTGAAAAGAAACCCTACAGAAATATGCAGTTGAAATGTCTACCAGATCCAGGGCTTTCTGACTGACCCTCCCTTGTGTAATGTATGCTACTTCACAGAGCATAATATTCC